CATCGGTAATGAGGTCCTTATTTATACACGTATACGCGTTCATCTTTGTGTGCGTGCACCGAGAGAGTTAACGCGCGTTCACGTAGTACAGGTACCGGTGCACGCGCGTGCGCTGAACGCGGTAGAACATATTGTTTTGTATTCCTACGGTGTTTGTTTTTTTTCTCCTCCTTTTTTAATCGATTTATCATCGCGTTAAAAAGTAAAAATAAACAAAAAGAAGAAAAATCCTCTCTCCCTACGGGTTTCTTGCACTCTTCGCTCTCTCACTCTCTCGACATCGGAGACGACAACACTTTACGTCCGCGAGCTTATCGTTGGATTGTTTATATATATATATATTATTTTTTTTTACCGATTCCATGCATTGACGACCGGTTTTTATGAGGACGCACCGAGAATTATGTCTCCTACGTTGTTCGCCCGTAATATAATATGCAAAACCGTGCCGCGCCACTCCGCCGCACCACAAAATCTCATCTCGACCGAACGATTCCTCCTGCCGCCGATCGTTTTTGACTTTTTTTTCTTCTTCTGTTTCACGTGCGCGAATCTTCCGCCACACGACCATCGGTCATTTTGACAATTCAATGGGGCCAAGTTGCGAGTCGGCATAATAAACATCGTCAACAACATGTGTAGTACTGCAACGATATGTGTGTGTATATTATTATTGTACGGTTTTAAACGTCGAGCCATCGCGCACGTGCGAAAGATTTATAGGTGAACGGTCGACGGCGACGGCGGCCTGTGTCGCGCGTATTTTTTCCGGACGGATCACGTTGTTCGCCCGTACGGTGGTGGTAACGGAGACAGAAGTTCCCTGAGAGAACAGTTGACGGGGGAGGGATAAACGAGATAACCGTGAGATGTGCGCGTGTTTTTTTTTTCACTTTTATTATTAAAAATATCGGTTGACCGGTGGCGGGCCAGGACCTGATTGACAAAAGGTGCTCGCAGGAATTCCGAGGAGCAGCAACACCGCCGCCGCCGCCACCGTCGTATAAGACGTCAAATATCGCGTTTATACGTTCCTTTGTCGTCAACCAGTTTGACCGGGACCGTCGTTCTCCTCCATAAATCACGAGCCGCCACCCTCGACCTCTTAGCTCGGCCGTCGCAGCCGGGTCCCGCACAATGGTCGGCCGCATCTCGGAATTGCACAATACTCGCGCGCGTACATTACAGGATCACGTATGTATAGCGTGTGAGTGTGTGTGCCCCCGTTGATTTTCCGCCGCATCATTTATAATACCTTTTGCCGGACGTTTTTCTTACACGATTATTATTTATATCGTATTTTATACAGTTTAAACGATATATTTTTCTCGCCGCCGACCCGTATAATAATATACGCGCATACGTAACACAATAAACGAACCTATACCTGCTTACAGGGTGATCAGAAATTCGTGTCACGAAAACGGCGCAGCATAATGGTAATATTACTTGACGGTTTCATGACCGCGAATTTCCAATCACCCTGTACGCACGGTCGCGTATCCATTATTATTGCGTTCGCAGGTTTTCGGTTACAACAATATTAATCAATCGACGGCATCGGCTGCGACGCTAGTCACCGGGCAATAATTTGACGCGGCCGAAAGACGCGCAGGAATGTTAATATATCATGCGACGTACATAATGGTCTTGCACAAACGTGTGCGTCGATCACCTTCTCAATCTGTTTTATTTTTTTTGCTATTTTTCGCCTTTTACATCCGCGCGCCTGAGTGTTACGCGTTTGTACGCTCTGCAATCGCCATCACGGCCTTGCCGCGCGTCCCTCTAGTCCTCACAGGTCCAATATTATATTGCTGTTGCAGTTTCGGTACCCATAGGTGTGTAAAGTATATGCGTGTACCATGTGTACGTCGTGTATTTATATTTAATGTACGCCGCGTACACAATGTGAACTGCAACTTGCATAATGCAATATATATATACATGTACGTGTGCACGCCGCGAGAGAGGAAGGGATGGTGATGACCATTGTTTCACTCGTCGAAAAAATCGAAAAGCGTTTAACGATTACGGCGACGACGAGACAATACCGCTACACGTATATGCAGATTTACCACGGAATTTGCATACAAACGCCGCCTTCGGTAGTGCACGGTATGGCGATCGACATCGAGAAAAATAGAAGCAGTTATTTATATATGTATTATATATATACGCGTATAAATACACATTGTACGTGATATATAGAATATAATGTATGTATGCACGCGTATGTGTGCGACGCGGACGACAGAAAGAAAACAATATTTATTGTCTTTTTAATCCGCTCGTGTGTATACGCTATTGGGCACCGCTGTAGTTGCACAATTCGTGAATTAATTTATTTATAAACAGCCCTCTGTTCGGGTGATTATAACTACGCGAATTAATTCGTTTCGCCGTCGTCGGGTTGACTGATGGACCGGCGGCGATAGAGGTCGAAGAATAATATCGTGTGTATGCACGAAGAAAAATAGAAGGAGGAACGTGCGCCGAGGCAAAAAGGGGTTTGAGGTGACAAATGAGAATTAAACAGACAGACGGCTCGCGCGCGCTCGCTTGTTCGATCGTGGCGAGACGGTAATGCGCGCGGGGTGTAAGGACCGATGGAAGGGGTTCGGAAACGGTGCGAGGATGAAAGGACTAAACGTTCGGTAGTGAGGATGTGGCGTGTAGGGTAGAAAACGCAATGACGTTATGTAGGCAACTTAATGTTTAATGACATCACGTTAATTGGTGCGGTTACCAGCGTTGACAATTAATTTACGAGTCTGTTTGCTTTGGCGACGGTCTCTCGTCGTCGTCGCCCAATTTAGGACCTTTCGAACAACGTTCATCGTGACGTGTTTGTAATAAAGGAGTGCGCGCACGTTGTTCGTACCGTTGGAGGACCCCATTCGTGTAACGTTATATCATTGGATACGAATAACAAGTATGTACCGCGACCGCGGTCAGGAAAGTAATTTTACCGTTTACATTCGCGTATCAGCACGTGAAACGCCGCTGTCGCCGCCACCGCGTGTGATCTTCTACGCGCGATTTCCGCGGATCACGTGGCTTGTGCCAGCGTATGCTAGCACGGTGATCTAGCTGGGGATAACCGCGGTATAATACCGGTATCAGTGGCGTGTCGTGCTGCGTGTGTTGTTCGTTCGGAGCTTTTGCGCGATAATAAGATGCACACGCGTTGGCGGCGAGTAATGACCGCAAGGAGTGGCGCTGACCGGTGGCGCTCGGTATGTTGAAAAATAAATATAATAAAAAAAAATAAAAAAAAAAAAAAAAAAAAAAAAAAAGGGAAAAACGGCCCATCACGACCCGCACGGACGAACAATAGACGATAAATCAGACCAATTAAACGATATTTTCTTTTTCTCCGCATTCCGCACGTTGTTTTTTTTTTTTATGTATATACGCCACGTTTTCAGGATGGCATGCGCGTACATATATTAGCTGATCATGCTGCCGTGCTAGGCGTACATACGTGTACGCGTACGTATGGAATTATTTGAGTCGAAGTAAAAAAAAGTACACTTAACGATCGAGAAAAAGCGTGTGGTGCTTTATTGGACGCGTCGTTTGAATGTTCATTTCATTATTATTACTTTTTTTCTCTCTCCTTCGCTTTCTGGGAATGCCGCACCGGCAGCAGTATCAAGCGGCAGTATGAACTTTTCACGGTGCACAATAGCAAGAATCCCGGCGCGGGCTGAAGAGGACAGTTTTAAGTTTTCATAAACAACCCATTCGTTTTTATCGGGCCATCTGCAAGGCGTTAAGACAATAGGCTTTGGGTCGTGACGACTTTGGACAGGTTCGAGAGATCCGCCCCAGGTTTTATTGTTTTTATATCGTTATCTAGCGCGTTCGATCTTGAGGGTTTGTCGGCCCGAAAAATTCGCGACCTCCATTGTCCTCTTCTTAACAGAGTCCACACACAAAAATAATGAATTCCGCGTAAGACGTCGTCTTTGCGCGCAAAAGTTTTTTTTTTCTTTATTATTATTATTATTATTTTCTTATTCTCTTTTCGTTTTTAACTCCCGCGCCCTCGTTTAACCATCATCACCCGATCTTCCACCTCGGACGCGTATACACGAAGACGTCTGAAATAAAACGCGTTTATCAAAAAGACGAATGTCTGCGAAGATAATAAACTCGGTCGTTTTTTTTTTTATTTTTTTTTTATATTTTCCGTACGGTGCGCGCTCTGTTCTGTTCTGTTTTTGTTTCAACGTGATTTGTTTTTGAGACAATAGAATTTTGGTGACCCCCCACCCGCAATTCAACGGTGGAGGGAAATAATAATTCGGTAAAGCGTACGTTTTCGTCCACGTCGCAGATTCGAGACACGGAATAGAGCGTAATATCGAAAAGCAGTCGTTCACGGTCGGTTAACCGCGATCGAAGAGAGACGTGTCGGCAGGAGTAGCGTGCAGGATCGGCGCGAGGATCTGGTGGGCGCGTGTATTATTAGACGATGAGGAACGACGGCTATTAGAAAAACTGTGCGTTGCGCATTATTGACAGCCGTACAAATAAGTACAAACGACCCCGTGTTCGGTTTGATGACGACGACGACGACAACGACGCGGCGGCACACGGTCGTAGTTAATATAAACGTCGACTCGACGGCAGCCCATTATTTCAAATTAGAGTCTCTAAACGCTGGCGCGCTCGGCGGGTACACGACGTGAACCACTCGTGTTCGCTTGTTTGTTTTCGTACACAAACGCGCGTGTGTTGTGCGTATTTCTCTCGCCCTATGCGCCCCGTAGGCGTGTGTTTGTGCGCGCGTTGTAATCAATGTCGGAAAATATCGCTAACTAACCCCACGTGTATATTTTATACGTCCCCGGTGCAGCAGTGATACTCGTACCTAAACGCGCGCAGGTATATACGTTAGTATACGCAACGGTATTGTGTGTTTGCCCGCGGTGTGCCGTTAACCCGTTGTCGGAATTAGTTTTTTTCAACCCTCTCGTTTCTGTTCGCAGGGGAAGGCGGTGAAGGCGAAGAACCGCCCGCGGGATACCAGGAAGACGACGGCGGTTGTCCCGAAGACGACGAGGACGAAGAGGAGGAAGAAGAAGAAGAGGGCGTGTCCGGCGGATCGTCCGGCTCGCCTCCGAGATCTCCAATCCCGTCGAGTACGGACGTCGAACAGGATCCGGCCAACGAACGTCTACCTCTGAGGTTAGTGTGTAACGTATAATTAATAACGCGCAATACCCCCCTGTACAGCGAGACACAGAGAACACGTTCGTTCGTACGATTTTTATTTTTTTTTTTTTTTACTATTACCGCGCGCGTTAGCTATATTTTATTTGCCGATTATTGAGACGTCCGCTTTATGCGGCACCGGGCGCAGCGCGTTGAGACACGTATGACGTCGTTTTTCCGTCCGCATACTGACGACTGTGCGTGGTATACGCGCGACGTCCGTCCGACGGCAATGCGTTTTACGTTCCACCCGCGGTCGCGTTATGTTTCCACCTAATGGTCGTTTTTTTTTCTCCCCGAACGGTGTCCGCATTATCGATACGAAAAGGCAATATTGTCGTTTTACGTACTCGTATGCAAACGCGCGAGGGTTAAGTTATTATTACTATTGTTTTATGCGCGTGTAAATATCTGCGTATATAATAATACATGTCGTCGACGGATCGTAAAACATATTATCCGAACGACCGACGGATTATTAATGTTTTCCAATCGTCGTGAATTATATTACACTATACGGACCTATCGTTTTCTGATCCCGGCAACACGTACACACGTTAAAATAATAATATGGATTCGTTCTAAGCGTTTCACGGTCTTAATTAAAACGTATAATTTAATCACGAATAATGCAGTAATAAATAACAATATTGCTGCGCGTTGTTTATATATAAATGCTGCGATATTAATAATTATTATTACCATCGATGTTGTGTACGGCTCGGTTAATTGGACCTTGCTGCCGGTAGGCAAATGCCATTAGGTTCGGTCTGATAAAATGGCCGATTTTTAAGCAATGTCACCGCTCGCGTCTTGTTGATTAAATAACTACAGAAAAAACAACTGGCCCATAAATCTCTGATCCGATCAACGCGATACGAGTAGATCTACTTTCCAGTCTGCGGAAATTGTGTTTAAATATCAATTTATACGTTGACGGCATTTATTATTTTCACACTCTGTCAATGTCGCTTATTTCAATACATCATACGTTATTTTTTTTGAATTTTTTTAATATCATTCCGTCTTCGATACGTATGTCGATAGGTCGTCACGATTTGAATATAGTACCGTATATCCTGTGTTGAACATCGACCTACCAAAACAAACCTGTGCGGACGATTGTTTCGCGAGAATTGTTATTATTTTAGACCTATAAAATAATTTACGAATCGACCCATTCGCTTAAAACAGTTTCGAATAAAACGAAGAAGTTTTTGCTCACATCAGTATTGTCTAAGACGCCAGACTTCGGAAGTGTATGCGTATTCGGTACAGTCGTATCATTGTAGCACTTTTGTGTTTTTCCACTTTTCCGGAACGTATTCTTTACCTGAAATCGTCGACCGGAAGAAGGGTGGTCGTTGGTGGCATGCAACCCCCTCGTACCATTAGAAGAAGAAAAAAAAATGTTCCGAATGATGACGCCAACGGTGTGGTGGTGATGGTGTCGTCATCGCGACTCGTTATGTGCTTAGGGGGTGTTGGTTTTGCTCGTTCATTTGAATTTTCATTTAGTCTTGGTTCGCGATGGAGAGATGGCGGGGTTCTTCGACTGATTTACGATAATGGCTCGGGTGCCGCCTCTCCCGCAGCGGAGGATAATTTCTTTTTTTTCGCCTATATGCCGCGAGAAAGGAAGTTGTGCAGACGCAGGGTGAGTGGAAACCGGCTGCAGTACCAGCAGTGAGTGAGGGGTGGGCATAGCAGCGGGAAAAAAACTGTTATGACCTCCCCGCTGGGAACGTCAACTTTGTACTTTGGATTCGATAATTTTTAAAATATATCGCCCGTTGCTCACGTCGACTATATATCGCTGCCGCCGCGCCACCGGGGCACCATGATAACGTCGTCGTCCCACTCTCCACGGCCCCGTCCGCCACCCCACCGTTCGCGCTGGCAAAAGATACACCTTGTCAACTTGAATTCGTGACGGCATTATATTACAATTATTCCGGTTGCGCCGGAGACGACACTACAAACTCCATAAATTGGTTTTAATGCGGCACTCGACTGAGTTTGTTTTTGCGAGAAAAGTCTTGCCAATATGAAATATTGTTCATTAATCTGTCTTGTTAGCCGGAAATTATTGCCGACGGAGGATCGAGTTCCGGGCGTGCAAATCCATTCCCTACTACCCTCTGCCCTGCACCTCGTATGAGTATGGTACATCTCTCAATCACTCCCTCTCGCTCTCTCACACACTCTATTCTCACTCTCTCTCTCTCTCTCTCTCTCTATCTCTATTCTCTCACTCTATCTTTCTCACTCTTGATTTCTCCCTCTCTATCCCTTTCCATTTTTTGCCTACCGTCGTTACAGATCAACACCCGAAAAAAGGGTCCTTATACCAAATTTTACGGTAATACATGTGTTTGTGGATGTAACGTACCGGATTTGATCCAGGCACCAAGCCAAAACGGCTATGCGCTAATCATTTGGATTGAAATCTTGTCGCCAACTCAATGTCGGGTTATGCTAATTGTTTCCATTAATTAAACTGTCTAAAAAAAAAAAAAAAAAATTAAAAATAAAAATAATAATATAATAATAATGCAGTTATGTCAGTTGACTGAAACGTGTAACTGGCAGATGGTAATGAAAGAAAAAAAACACGTCGTAATTAATGAAGAGGAAAAAAAATTCCAAGTAATATTTTGATAAACGCCTTCATTAAATCAAGGACTTGGTCAATCTATTTGTGTCAATTTTTATAATGTGTCTTGTTCGCAGACGACATAAAATGTCAACTCGGTCATTAGCCTATACATTATTATTTCAGGTTTTCGTTATTGTACTACACTCTAGCGGCCGGAACGTTGTAAAATTATCTAATGTCAAAGGACCGAACGCTCTACAAATCACCTTGAGCTATATAATGCGTTCTTGTCGGTTCGGTACGCCATATTCCTTAAAAAGGTGGCTTGACATTTTTCTTTTGGAGTGGTTCAAGAATAATTATAACTACCTATCCACAAAACTATATTTTCCTTATTATATTTTTTGAATAGTTGATGCGATTCGTATAATATACTTGTACTGGTTACTATCCATGTGTCTTTTACAAGAGTTTCATCAGATATTACCAAACGGCTACCAAAAGTGCCATTGCGCCCATCTATTGAAAATTAGTGAACCGTGATACACAATGTCGTCCCTGTTTTTAGAACACGCGCGTACGGTTTTTTCCTACATATTATTTAATTTTCCCCTCGTTTGATTTTCATTTTGCAGAGAGACGAACAGTCCGTTCAAGATGAGCAGAGAATCGCCCAGGAGCGAGTCCAGCTTGCCGCCGTACGAAGTACCGTTATTGGCCACCGTGTCACCGGGCCGTTCGCCGCCCGCTGCGGACGCGTTGGACTTCAGCACGAAGCGACCGGCCAGTCCACCGCCAGCGCTGTGTTCGATCCCCGCGGCCATGAACCTGAGCAGCAGTAGCAGCGGCAACAACAATGACGACTCGCCTATCGACCTGACCATCAGGAGCAAGAAGATCAAACTAGACCCTTCGCCGTCGCACGACGTCTACACCAGGATGAGCAGGCCTTGGGCGCAGTACACGCCGCCGTCGATCCGGCCCATGGCCAGGGCGGACATGATGACGCCGCCGAGCGAGCCGCAACCGCCGCCGCCGCCTCCCGTACACATGTGGAACGGCAGCAAGCAGCATGGCAAGATGCCGTCGTACGGCGGCTCGTACCCGTCGGCGGCCAGCGATGCGACCAAGGCGCTGGAGAAGATGTGCGAGCTGAGCAAATTGCAGGATGAACCGAGGACGGTGCTGGCGCCCAGCTCTGGCCGGCATAGCGCGTGGCAGTCACATTGGCTGAACAAGGGCGCGGACCAGACCAAAGACGTGCTCAAGTGCGTATGGTGCAAGATGAGCTTCCCCACGTTGCAGGCCATGTCCACGCACATGGCCGAGACAAAGCATGGCACGGCGGCCGCGCAGAGCCTGCAACCGCCGCCGCTTCCGCCGCCGCCGCCACCACCCTCGGTGTCCGCGTCCGCCGGCCACAAGAGCAACGATCTCAACATGCTGATCAAGGAAACGATGCCGCTGCCGCGAAAGCTGGTCCGCGGCCAGGACGTGTGGCTCGGCAAAGGCGCGGAGCAGACGCGGCAGATACTCAAGTGCATGTGGTGCGGCCAGAGTTTCAGGTCGCTGCAAGAGATGACCACGCACATGCAGCAGACGCAGCACTACACCAACATCATTTCGCAGGAGCAGATCATATCGTGGAAGTCCGCGGACGAGAACAAGTCCTCGTCGGGCGGTGGGAGTGGCGGGGCCACGGCGAGCGCGACGTCGACCAGCTCGCCGGCCGGCTCGGCCAACGCTTCGTCATCGGCGAACCACGTGAGCGCGGTACTGACGTGCAAGGTGTGCGATCAGGCGTTCAACTCGCTCAAGGAGCTAAGCGTACACATGGTGAAGAACTCGCATTACAAGGAGCACATGATGCGGTCGATCACGGAGGGCAGCAACCGGCGCCGGCAGACGCGCGAGAAGCGCAAGAAATCGCTGCCAGTGCGCAAACTGTTGGAGCTGGAACGCGCGCAGCACGAGGTGAAAAACGGTGACGGTGGCGGCGGTTACGCGTCCGCGTTCAAAGGCGACGTGGCCTCCAACCACCGGCTGGGTAGGATCATATGCGAGAAGTGCGGCGAAAAGGTGGACGTTGCCGGCTTCATGGAGCATTTGCGCGTGTGCGTGACGATGACGGCGGATCAGAAGAATCTGCTGAAGACTGCGCTCATGTCCACGTCGTCTTCGTCGTCGTCCGCAGCGGCGGCTGCTGCGGCCGAATCGGGCCGCGACAAGAGACCAAAGAAAGGAGAGGACAGATCTCAAGCGGCCGCGGCCGACCTGTCGATGAACAAACCGGTAGCGGCGTCTGCGGGCGGCACGTCGTCGCCTTCCGTGCTCAACGCCATCGAGAAGCTGATCGAGAAGAGTTTCGACTCGCGACTGCGGTACGGCACGTCGGCCACGGGCGCGTCCATCGGTGAGAGCATACTGAAGCGATTGGGCATCGACGAGAGCGTGGACGCCACCAAGCCCATCATGGACATGCAAGCGATGAACCTGTTGCGCAGCTACCAGTCGCTAGGCCGGCACGAGCGTAGCGGCAGCGAGTCCAGCTCCATGTCTCCCGAGCTGGCCGCCATGCGCAGCGACTCGACCACGCCGGACCGCAAGTACGAGTCCGCGGACTACCAGCGCATGCGGTCGGTCACGCCCAAGTCGACGCCCGAACGGCACCACTCGCCCAAGGCGTCGTCGGTGAAGAGTCACGACGCGGCGCCGGAAGGCAAGAGCGACGCGGCCACGGACGACTGCGGTGCCGAGTTCGAGTTGAAGAAGGAGTACGCGGACGAGGACGACGCGTCGTCCTCGGTCGCGGCCAAGAGCCCTGGCGACCATCAGCAGCGCGTCCGGAGTCGCGGCTCCGCGGAGGACGAGACGAACGGATCGAGCCGAGGCCCGACCCCGACGAGCGTGTGTAAGAGCCCGTGTAGCCCGGCCGGCAGTGACAAGTCGGCCGAGCACGGGGGTGGTGGCAAAAAGACACCGGCCACCACCACGTCCAGCCTGGGCGCGCTGTCCTCCATGTTTGAGAGCTTGACGTCCGTGGCCAACGGCGGCGTCGGCGGAGGTTCTTCCACGGCCACCGGTGAGGGTGCCGGCGGCGGTAGCAAGGGCGGCGGCAGCGGTGTCAGCAGCCACCCGCTTGCCGCACTCCAGAAGCTGTGCGACAAGACGGAGAACCACCACCATCATCACCACCGCAGCAATAACGAGCATCATCACCGGCCCAGCAGCCGGTCGTCGTCGAACGCGTCGGCCACCAACGGGGCAGCGGGTCCCGCGCAGTCCATGTCGCCGCCCGCGTCCATCACCGGCAGCACCGCGCCCGGTGCCATCCTCGCGTTCAGCTGGGCGTGCAACGACGCCGTGGTCACGGCCGATTCGATCATGAAATGCGCGTTCTGCGACACGCCGTTCATATCCAAGGGCGCGTACCGCCATCACCTGTCCAAAGTGCACTTCGTCAAGGAGGGCATCACGCCCGAGCCGATCATGCTGAAACCGGCGTCTGCGGCGTCCTCGTCGTCGTCCGCGTCCGCGCCGCCCGCGCACTCGCCTTCGCCGTCGCCGTCGCCGTCGTCGTCGCACAACAAGACGTCACCCCATCACAACAGCAACGCCACCAACAACCATCACAGCAGCAGCAACAACAACAACAACAACAATAACAACAACAACAACAGCAGCAGTAACAACAACAACAATGGGTCGCCGTCCACGTCGGCCGCGGGCGCCAAGAGCCCCGAAACCAAGAACGGCGGCTATGACGAAAGCCCGCACTCGAAGTTCCTCAAGTACACCGAGTTGGCCAAACAGCTGTCCAGCAAATACGTCTAGTCAGTGCACGTTGTATACGATTATTTAACAAACCTTCCTACCCCCAACCCCCACCCCACTCAATGTTCGCGGGTGTTGTTATTATTATTATTATTATTATTATTATTATTATTATTATTATTATTACGATAAAACGCGTTGTTCTCCTCCCTTCCCTCGTCTGCGGTGGTGCATCGCTACCGCAAGAGTTCAGTAACTACACATTACTACTAAACTATATATTATATTTACTACGATTATATTATACTACTACTACTACTACTACTACTACTAGACGCTTAGCGTGATGACGGATAATTTAATGAAAAAAAAAAATTTTTTTTGTTTAAAAAAATCTTAAAAAAAAAAATCGTATCGTTTTTTTTCCCACATTACAGTATCACGATATTATACATATTCATAATCTTCCACGCGATGTACGCGAATCCTGGTGTTCAACACTCACGTTGTACCTTAAATACACATGTATACGCCGTTAGAAAACAATAACAATAATAATTCTCGTAATTTATTTAAATTTTTATATTTTTTTTTCCCCGTTAATTTACATTTATATATTTACGAAAGAGAATGTTATCGTGTTCTACTCGCGCGCGCGTTCACTCCGACGTGTCTGCGCGTGATACATAGGCTAGCAACATTTTTATTGAATCATATATATATATTTATACATACACTGTGTTAATTTGTTTAGCATAATATATTTGTATTAACTACATTGAATACGTTTTCTGCTCATACGCTGTACAAGTGTCCTGTGTTAAGTACGGATATTATATAAGTATTGATTATTTTGTAAATTTAAGAGTATAACATTTTTAAAAGGCTGTCACGTCAACTATGTATAACGATTAATGCTTAAGTGTAGAGTTAATTATTAATTTAATCAATGATACATATATATATATATATACATACATATAGGTTATAAGTTCGTGTATTCGTCATTTTTCCGGTCGTAGGCGACGTCGTTTCCGTCACGGAAACCATTCCATGATGTGCGTACTACGAAAATTAATAAAAAAGAAATAAATAAAAAACGTTGTTTAATAGCGTGCAATGCATTCGGCGTGGCCAAAGCGCGTAAACGAGATAAAACATCGGTGCCCGAAAACGTATACGATCACAACCGTTGCAGTGCGGACGAACGAGAAAACATCAAACATACGTAGACACCTACGCAAAACTCGACGGTACTTGATCGGTCTCGCGACGATTCGCGCGATTTTCACGCCGTTCCTCGCGTTTTTTTTTTTTTAAGATTTTTTTTCTTATTCCACCCCCTCCCCCTCTTTCTTTCCTTGAGCTATATTATTAATCAGCAGCCAGTATAAGCAAAATAGTTACCATTTAAATAATTTTATTAGTTTTGTTGGTTATTATTTATCGTGAGGGGAATGTTTTAAATACTTTACATCACTCGGAGTGTACGTAACATTTTTTATTATTATTATACGACTATTAATGTTTTCACGTACTGTCCCCGAAGGGGAACGGGAACGCGACGCGTTACTCGGTGTAACGTTGATCGTAATTATGTGTAACACCGATTATCAGTGCCGATCGAGTAGTTCGCCCTGTGTTCGAACCGTGCGCGCGTTTGCATTCGTCTGCATTCGCGCGATGTTCTCTTTTTTTATTTTTCACTTATTATTACATATTTTGTTTTCTTCGAACCGTTTGTTCAGTATTACGTCATCCGTCGTTTCATCGTAACAATATCGACACATTTTGACACGTATAAATAGTCAGTATTTTTTATTGCTGGTACGTTTTTGTTTTTTTCCCCTTTTTTTTTTTTTAAACGTATTTTCAAATTTCCCATACGAATACAATTCTTCTGTATAATTTTTACATACATACTTGTATACGATTACGAAATAAAATATTCTACGGAAAAAAAAAAATAAAATAAAATATTTGCCATGTTTTACGTTCGTCTCGCGACTATCTTAATCGTCGTAGGATTTACTTTTTTGTTTACGAGGTTACTATTACGATATATTATTATTATGATTATTATGATTATTATTATGATTATTATTATTATTATTATTATTTTGTTTTTATTTTAAGTTTTATCGAACTACAAAATGTTTTGTACATAATTTGAATATAGTATTAGAAATCCAATACGGTTGTATTATAAATTGTACTTATTTATTTATTTATATAACGATGTAGGCAATATTTGTTTTAATTTTTAACAAATAATAAAAGACATTTGAATTCGATGGGCGACTTTGTTTTCATTACGCCTTAAAACGCCTACCTTACTTCCTGCTTATACGCTGGCGCAACAATCCGCGTCAGTTCAACCGCACAGGATAGGTACCCGGCCGGGGGAGCGATTCCTCGAGGGTCGGACGCTCGGTGTGTCCGAGATCGTTTGTCGTCGGAAACAGCGAGTCTCGTTCGATTACCAACCGGAAACGTCTGATGTCCGTTTAACGTGGAAAACGTGGGCGCACAAGGTTTTCGGAACGGTAAAAAAAAAAAAAAACATTTATGAAGGAATTGGACGCGTGCGGTGTGTTGTGTGATATTGTCTTGAGTGGTTGACCAGTGATCGTCGGAGATATCGTACTGCGACTTGAATAACGAGCAAAACAATGCGCAGGTTGATGCGGGAACAGAGCTAGGGACCGGAAATCCCGCTTTAAGCAGTTTTGCCGAACAAAACGGAAAAATTTCGGACCATCGGTTCGATTCTAACCTGTGTTCTTCGTATCACAAAATAAGTTGATAATATTTAATCGTTTTTATATAGAGTTATTAACTCGCATGGAGTAATAATAGAATAAAAAATTAATAAATAAATACAAGGTGAGTACACGGTAATTACTTTTCGTATCCGACTATCAAAATCGCACGGGTCGAAAATAAAAGAACTCGTAAAAATAATAAAATATAAATAAAAAAAATTAACTCGGCGGATTCAACGCTTTTCCGGTTATAGAAATAACGATTTTCGTGTTGACGTTAGTCGCGCGATGATGACGAAAACAGCGATAGGACGTTGATCCAAAGAAACAGATTCTGAAATATGTAAACGTGCAATGCGAAATTTCATGTTTTCGCTCGACGATCGAAGCAAACGTTACAACTCGTTCAAGGACTCGACTATGCGAAACAACGGCACGAGAAGACACTCTTCTCAAAAGAAATTGGCATTATAGTTTCAGCACCGGTTAGATAATAGGTAACACCTGTCGATTAAAAAAATAAGAACCGAGCGGTCGCGGGACGGCTGGCAGATACGAAACATCGGAAACTATTTCGTATGTAAAATGTGCACGAAAGGATGTATTATTAAAGGATATTAATAAAGCATAAATAAAAACAAAAACATTTAGACTTATTTTAGTGAAATATTCTTTATTTACACAATATTCAATTAATACCAAAATCAGAAAAATCAAAAACCACTCGTCAGACAGTTTGAGTCTGTTATAATTCAGCCGTTTTTATTGAACATTATGTAGGCCGTAGAAAACCAACTATAAATTGAATTTAATCCTTGGTATAAGTTTTTGTGATACTAATACTCGAAAATATACAAATTTCAAACTATTTTTACCATATTATATCGCGCGATTCTCGGCCACTTTTATAATGGTTTAGACGATTTATTTCATTAGTTTTATTTTGCGTTACGCACTAGACGAACGCTAGTAATAATAATAACGGCGGGTTATTTGATTTTGGTTTAATTATTATTTATCGCGTAAGTACTAAAATCTAGTAATTAGTATTCAGCGAGGTAATGAACGCTCGTAGATTAATTTATTCTAAAAAATGTTCATAACCTCTTCGGTCGAACAAAAAACGATTGCGATCGATTGGTCACGAAAACGAACACTCTTTTACACACGCACCTCTGTACACTTGATTAATATTAACTGGTCTACGTTTTGTCGAAGCAACGAACAGTGCGCGCTGGAAACCACTTGCACAAAACAATTCGAAAACATTTGAAGACGTTCCCGTATTTTATAGTTTTTGGAAAAACTTTATGGAACATATCGAAAAATCACTTTAGGCAGTAAAACCGTGATTTTTTAATGATAGACCGAACTGAATAATATTATTATTTGAGGAGGGAGAATTCATACAGTGTAACCGATTATGCATTCTTCAGTTCACTAAGAAAAGAAAAAAACTCCATTAAAGTTTTAAATTTGTTATTGTATACGGTTGCGAAGACATTTCATTTTACTTAGACGCGTTTTAGGTTTTGAACGTGCAAATGTATTGGTTTTACGACGATATTTTTTTCCTTTCTGCAGTCATTAAACTTTACGTTTAATGATTTGCATGAACTCTCGTAAAACTAATTATCAAAATCGAAAGTTCTACCCAAATACAGTCACTGATGTAGAGCTAAGATATGAGAGGAGCCAACTGTTTCAAATACAATAAATCATGTATGAACATAATGATATAAATTATTTATATGAAAAATAATATTTATAATATTTTATATATTATATCTGTAATTACACACATTAAATTAAATTTTTAAATAATTCTTCAAAAACCTTTCAACAATGTTCAAGTAGACTTGTTGGATACTTGATGGAATTTATTGGACAACTCATAATTTTTTATTTAAATTTTTTTTTAAATATCGTGTAATTCGTGAAAAGTAAAGTATTATATTCATCTCTTAGATTTTTGAACGTGCATTAAAATTACATAATGATAATCCATTGCTGTGGTTAGTATGCATTCTTATTTTTCAAATTAAAATAACGAAGTAAAAAATATTAGTTAAATTATACTTAGTTAATACTTTAAAGAGTTAATTTCTCGATTTTTTTCTCAGATAATTATTGAGCAGATGTAAACTTACGATTTACAATTATCTTAATAATATTAATAATAAACACCAACTAAAATTATTTGCCATGTATTAGATGGTCCCGGACTGGCTGAAAAGAGGTGAGGTGAGGAAAAATGTTAAACTTTTTTTTTAAAACAAAAAATTACGACTGGTCCAACAAGTCTATCTAAACATTGTTGGGAGGTTTTTAAAAACTTCTGCTAACATTGTGATGCTAACTTCTCGGCCAAAACAAGCAGGTATTAAATAACAAAATCAACACGTCCATTAATACCTTTTTTTAATAAAGCGATCGATTATTAAGTTAACATTTAATTCCATATCCCGATAAACATTTAATAAGCATAGTGAGGTAAGACGGTATTGTTCGAACGAAGCCAGGTTTTACCCGCCTTAAAACGGAGAAACTTCTATCAACAATTGTTACACTTACAGTTGGTAACGTAAGCATGGGGTGAATTTTAAATATTTAAGGAAATATATGTTCATCGCATTCCTTTAGTGTATCTATTGCTGTTGATCTCGGCGTTTTTAAAGTATTAAGTAGTTCGTCATCATTCGCAAGGTGTCTGAAGAGGGGAGGGGGACAAGTTATGTTCGTACATTTAAAAAGCGAACAAACAAGATCGCGCGTTGTACGACAGACGTTAGCATCCGTTAGTACCCGTTCGAATCGCGTCGTCCGGCGAACTACGATGTGGTCGCGCAGTACGACGTGGCGAAAAAATAATAAAGTGCAATAATGTGACGGAAAAGGAACGCAGCAGACCTGGACAAACGAACACGATTGGAATATGTCACGACAAACCCGTGCCGGGTCTTGGCGACGGGTAAATCTATAAGCAGTTGTGTTGGGATCCGCGTCGGCCAAACCGACTGACCGATCACGATGCCGTCGACCCGATCGGACGTGACGGAAAAGTTGCGCGGCGCCTGGCGTGTGCACCAATTCCTAAGGAATCGGTTTCGTGTCAACAACGAAAAATACCCGTCGAAACCGCAGCCAACCGGGGTCGTAACGATCGGTTGTGAACAGTGTGACTGCAGTTGACACGTCAACGTCGTTTTAACGATACACGAAAAACACAAATCAGAATTTCCGACCACTAGTCCATCGAACTCGTATTGTGGTCGGCCGATATACGCGATGTTATGATTTTCGAAAAAATACGTCCGTCATAACCGGTAAATACGTTGTAAATTATATATTATTTTTGGTTTCCGTTCTCTGCACCTCGTTTGTTCGCACTCCACTTGGATCCACCGGACGCAAACAAGAACGGTCAGTTGTTGCCGATCACTGGTGCGTATAGTACGTTCGATCGGGCGTTTATCCGAACGCCCTTTCGGACGCGAGAGGATAGCCCGAGTGCGAACACAGCCGTCGGTACGCAATCGCGTCTCTCGTTTCCGGGAAAAATCACGCCCGCGCCCAAACCCGGCGAACCGAAAGTTTCGCTCCCGCCGCCCCGCGTTTCCGCTGTCGTCGCATCCCTGCGAGCACCCCTCGCGCGTCAACTCTTTGTACGGCTCAAGACCGGGTGGGCAAATTAATCGCGTTGGTTT